CAGATCTGTTCTTTCAGGTAATTAAATATTAGTGATCACAGAACTGTATACTAAATTAAGCATGAATTAAGCACATTCCCTAATAGTGTGGGCAGCCTCCTCAGACCAACAAATAATATTTGCAAATACCACAAACCTTTAAAAGCAGAGGGCTCATGGAGCCACTTGTTGTTAGCTTGTACTTATGGTTGCTTACCTGAATGAGCAGTGAAGAACCCATCTGTCCAGCCCCTTTCCTTGCCCCTGTAAGTAAGATAACATTCATGAGAACCAAGACAACCCTTTGTTTGAGCTGTCATTTCTACAAAGGGCAATTGGGATACTCTGCAGAGCACAAATAGACCACTTTCAATCTGCATCAAGATACTCATCAATGTTGTGCAACCAACAAAACCTAGCTTGTTGCAACTGGTTCTCAAATTAGCTTCCAGTGTTGGATACATTTGATTTGCTAACTAGCAATTCTGTTTAAAAAGGGTAACGGCAGGTGAATAAAATATTTAAAATCAGCAAAGACACAGTAGAAGCAGCTTTTATTAACTTTCAGAATTAAAGTACTCCCTCAAGGGAGGCACCTTTTCTATGTACTGTATTTTTATGGGTGTTCATGGGAATCAGAAATAACAAGATGAAATAAAAGAGGGTGAATTTAAGATGGACAGCCAAAAGTCTCTGTGTAATAAAACATAAACCACTGTGCAGTACACAGACGACTGTCTGCAAGTAAGATGCCGGATTTCCTGAATTTAACCTGAGTATGCGTAGTGTTAGCCTGAACAGGTCAGATGCAGGTTGAGTCATTATAGGCATCTGTGCATTATTCCCCAAAGTGTTTTCAAATAACTTCCAAAATTTTAGCCATAAAATTAGTCAAAGTTATAAATTCATGTGTGATACATTTTAAATAATCACAATGGAACTACTATTAAAAATTAAGATTGTTTGGTTTTTTTCATTTCCCTTTAGTGTTGAAAACTTTCTTTTCCAGGTTCCAAACTGGAAACTAGAACAGGAACTGATGAATATCCACACATGACAGTGCATTAACTTGCTTCATGCTTGACAGTAATGTTTAGTTCCTATATTATTTTTCCCTGAACAAACAAACAGAAGCAAACTGGCTTTATCACATGAGGAGCACATTTCTTAGATTAAAATTTGTAAATATTCTTACATAGATCAATATGGCTTTCTCTGAAATCAAGGGTTACAATAGGAAAGGAAATGGCACAAAATGAACGCCACAATGTACTGCTTTTATTTTCTGGGGTTTTGTTGTTTGCTTTTTTCTCCAGTGCCATTGTGTGAAGAATGTCTGTGTGATTTGGATCTCTTTTGTTATAATCCACTCTTCACTACTCCTTTTGAAATTGCTACATTATTACAAAGTAATTAACAATTTATAACAACTTTAACTACTTCATGGTAATCCCCTGAGGAAGAAATAAAATACACAAAAACTATGCAAGCAGTGACCATGAAAATGCTGGGATTTTCAGAGAAGAGACATTTTAATATGTCAACAAACTGGGAATGAGTTTCCGAAACTGGCTCATTCAAAAAAGCCAGATGCCTCAATGTTTTAATTTTACACCTATCTTTGCTCTCTCTTTCCCTGTTCTTTCATGAATTTAAATTCTTTTAAACCTATTTTTGAACAAGGTAATCTTGTCCCTGCTTTTTTTTAATGGAATGAACCCAGGTCTTCCTTAGGATCTCTCTCAAACTGCTGCTCTGGCTGTGCCGCTTATGCTTTCATCACTAACCACTATTCTTCCATTACTGCTCTGCTTTTGGGTTCAGTACTATTCTTCCATTACTGCTATGCTTCTGGGTTCATAGAAAGTGCTCAGCAACCATGAGATTAAGAAACACATAAAAACATAAGGTGAAATTTGTGGTTTCATTGTCCATGACAAAGTTTGATTTACTTCCAAGAGCCACTGTCCCCTACAGTTTGTGCCACTTTGCGCTCCTGGATGCCACTCAGTGATCAGCAGCTACCTAGCTGGATTGGTCTGCAGTCTACATGGCCACACATAGGCCAGTTCCAAAGGAAATGGTTCCAAAGGAAATATTACTGGATGCTCCTTTGAGCCTACTGACAAATTGCTGGACTGATCCCTCATCCAGGCCACTTAGCACTCTCAAAAGATTTCCAGAGCTGATCTGAAAGTTAACTTGGGCCAGGGACTATTCAACTACCAGTTTGGTGTACTCTGTGTGTTCTGGATACCAAAAGCATGGACATGGACTTTCCCAGTGCCAGCTAGCCTCAGTACCAGAGCACTGTCTTGGAGACATGCTTAATTCAACCATAGAGACATAATCTGGGAGTCAAATCTGCCCAAAGTGAAAAATCAATTGGTGAGTGTGAACACTAGCTGGCTAAAGTGAATCGTGGTCCTTTGTACAAGGACTTCCACTGCAGTGACAGGCTTGAAGTTTCTTTCTTGCCCTGTTTTACACCATCCCCTAACAGCAGATCTTCAGCTGTAAGAAGGCTGGGAACAGATTATTTTTCCCTTTTGGTGAATATATACTGAGGGAGAGAGCTCTTTTCCTGCTTACCCTTTCTAAGCTACATTTTGTAGATATTCCTTTTATCAGTGGGGGTGAGGATGTATAAAAAAGTGACTTATTTCAAATTATGTTAATAACCTCTGTTTTTTCTTATAAACCAGGGTGTATTTATTCTACTCCAACCCTTCTTCATATCAGTTCTTCTGAGGCAGAACTGGTGAGTTTGCGCTACACCTCCTCTACCTGCTATTGCACAGCATCCTATTAAGGGCAATTCAGCACTTCTTTTATTTTTCCAAATTACTCGCATTCTAGGTAAGATTGTATTTTACTGGACTGCATTTATAAAACTAAATTTTGTTTTATTTTCACTAATGCTTTGACAGGAGAAGGAGATTTTTAAACCCAGCAAAACAACTGATAATGAAAGAAGAAATAGGGAGGAGAGAGGCCAAGACAGATGTGGTATCTGTGCACCATTCCTCCTCTCTCAGAAGAAAGACACAAGATCAAGGTACTTACCCTGTAGAGGAAAATGGAAACGTGAGTCACAGTACATTTTCTTGAGCCTCTGTGATAGCACTTCCAAACAGAAATATCTCATTTTACATAAGCTTTTGGAATTCAAATTTCCAACCAAAAAAGCCCACGAAGCCCAAGACAATGTAACTAATGAGATATTTCCTTTTTGTATAAACTTTTCAGAAAAAGGTTGTTTTGTGTGGGTTTTTTGTTTTTGTTTTTTCTTTTTAAACATCTTAACATAATTTTGGGGAAGGGAGAAAATATTTACCAACATTTTATTAAGCAAACTTGAAGGAATTCTTTATGATGTTTTTAGAGGGTGGTCTTACAGTAAGCATCTACAGGACATTATTTTAATCAATGATGTAATTCAAAGAAGAAATGTAATTCAAAGAAAGCAGCCCTGCGGAGAAGGACTTGGGGATGTTGGTCGATGAGAAAATGAACATGAGCTGGCTTCAGTGTGCGCTTGCAGCCCAGAAAGCCAACAGTATCCTGGGATGCATCAAAAGGAGTATGACCAGCAGGTCAAAGGAGGTGATCCTGCCCCTCTACTCTGCTCTTGTGAGACCTCACTTGGAGTATTGTGTGCAGTTCTGGTGTCCTCAACATAAAAAGGACATGGAACTGTTGGAACAAGTCCAGAGGAGGGCCACGAGGATGATCAGGGGACTGGAGCACCTCCTGTATGAAGATAGGCTGAGAAAGTTGGAGCTGTTCAGCCTGGAGAAGAGAAGGCTGCGTGGAGACTTCATAGCAGCCTTCCAGTATCTGAAGGGGGGCTATAGGGATGCTGGGGAGGGACTCTTCATTAGGGACTGTAGTGACAGGACAAGGGGTAATGGGGTAAAACTTAAACAGGGGAAGTTTAGATTGGAAGAGGAAGTTCTTTCCTGTTAGGGTGGTGAGGCACTGAATGGGTTGCCCAAGGAAGCTGTGAATGCTTCATCCCTGGCAGTGTTCAAGGCCAGGTTGGACAGAGCCTTGGGTGTCATGGTTTAGTGTGAGGTTTCCCTGCCCATGGCAGAGGGGTTGGAACTAGATGATCTTAAGGTCCTTTCCAACCCTAACTGTTCTATGATTCTAAGACAAGCAACTATTGCCCACTGCTTTTCAGAGCTCTGCAGATGCCCAGGGACATCTGGGACTGATTTAGATGTGACACATTATGGTCTGACTGCTTCTATGGGCTGAGTCTTATATGGGATAGAAGTAGTGGCTTTTGTGCTGGAGTCCCAGCCTTGAGACAGGACTGTAGCATATACTAGAATGAAATGACTGTGTCAGCTGCATACCACCGTGAGTGGCAGGCCTTTCCATCAGTGCCAAAGATCTTGTACCTGGAACAACTTTGTTCCCCAAACTCATTCCACTCTTTTTAACATTTTATATGGAAATCCAGAATGCTTTTCTACTGAAATTCTGTCTCTGAAATCCCTGTGACCGAAACTCATCCAGGTGGTCTGGCAGTCCACACATGACACCTTCACTCCAGCTCTTGCAAAGCTTTTCAGCTGCATCCTCTGGGTGTTATGTCCACACATTCACATTTCCTGTTTTGCTGACCTGTGAGGCTAGTAAATCATTACTTAAAAAAAAAAAAAAAGAAAAAAAACACAACAGAAAAAATAAAAGAAAAAAGAAGGGAAAAAGAAAGATGAATAGAAAAAGAACAGAAAAAAAGAGAAAAGTAAAAAAGAGGAAAATAAAAAAATGAGAAAAAAACCCCAACCCCATAATATAAAAAAGAGAGGAGAAAAAAAAAAAAAGGAAAAGAGATAACCTTACTTGTTCTTCCTTTTCTTCCAACCCAGCCTCTCATGGACCTTAGAAGTTGCTATAGATGAGTTTTGGAGAAGTTAATGACTGTTAGGCTGTTGGTGGAACAAGACAGCCTTTTCTGCCTTTCCTCCCAGACCGTTTTATTTGGTCGTAACTTTTAATGGGGGCTGCTTCTCCTCCTGAAGCCTGCTCGGGGGCACTCCCTCCTGGACCGCAGCAGCTCTGCGGGCCCCGGGGCAGCCCGGCAGAGGAATACTCCCCGCATACCGGCCACAGCTCCTGGCCCACTTCGCCCCCTTAAAGCCTCCCTCGCTCCGGGGCTCAGGCTGTGGAGCTGCTCCCCGCCGCCGCCGTGCCGTGTGCTGGGAGCAGCCCGCTGCCCTCAGCCAGCCTCTCCCGCTGTGCTCGCCCTTCACTCCCCTAGCAGCCCCGCATGCAAATCGAGCCCAGCACCAGGAAGTAAGCGGGGCGGCTGCGAGCCAACTGTCGGCTCTCGGGCGAGGTTCCTCCGCCGGCTGCCCCCCTCTGCGGCCGGCGGGGAGCAGCGCCGCGTCCTGCACGCACACCGAGCCCGCCCGGCCCCGCCGAGCCCCCGCCCGGGACACCCCTTTCTCTCCGAGCCCCGGCGGTAACCGTGGAGCTCATTCGCTGCCGGCTCAACTTTCGCACCCGGGGAAGTAAGTGCTTTCACCGGGTGGTAGCGCTGAGAGCTGGGGGCGGCGGCGGCGGCGGCGGGGGGGGGGGGGGGCGTAAGCTCCAGCGCTCCCGGCTCTCTCCCACGGGCGTGCACTGGGAGTGAGCGGAGGGTGCCCAGCCGGGCAGCATCCGTGCCCCCGCCCCGGCACGGTGGGTACAAGGTGCTTTCCGGGACGGCTTGCCCTCGCTTCTGCCGCCCAGAGGAGGTGCTGCTGCTGTCTGACCCTCCCGGTAGGAATGGATGGGGTTTTAAAGGGAATATGCGGTATTTGGGGAGCAAAAAAGAGAAATCGTTCTCAGAAGCATGATTTACCTCTTGCCGCTTCTCCCGGCTTCTGCTGTGATCGTCAGGGCTCGGGTGCCTTCTGGCTGCTTGTTGCCGGAAAGCATGTTAATATTAGTTGATCAAAGACTGCACTCGGTGCCTCAAGCCAAGGCACTAGCCTCGACTTAGGAGAAACGCTGTGGCCTCTAGGTATTCCTCCTTACACCATTTTCTCTAGGAGAGTGATTCCTGGAGCGTCTTACAAGTTCAAGCTGCAGCCTCTTGACTGTGTGTTCAAAAGTGCCTTAGCTTAAAAGAAAAAGGAGAAAATGGTCTTGCGATGTTTGATGCATGGTGTTGCTTGCTGTTATTGTAACAGTACTGTATGCCTGAGGAATGGTCTTGAGGGGTTTTCTTCTTCCAGTTTTAATTTAGGATCTGAAAGTCAGGCTAGGTCTCTGGCTGATGTTGTACCTTCAGTAAAGCAGTTAGTTCAAGTTTCTCTTGAAATTACATCTTTTATGTGTTTGTAGGGAATGGGTTTGCAAGAACTAATCTTGCTGCTTCTCCCCCCTCTGTTGGCACTGAAGACCAAATTGATTAACACTTAAAACTTGTTTAGCCAGATCATATTACTGCTGATACGCACAGGGAGCACAAAGGTTACTTAAAATACTTACTGTATTGTTTCAACTGAAAGCCCAACTTAATATCCCATCTCTTGCTTTTCATTCCCACCTTTGAAGAAAAGAAGCAGTCTGACCAATCTTACCATATTTTAGCCCATCTTAATGCAAATTAGAAATTGCATTTTCTTATTTTGATCCTATAAAGTACGTGGGAGACTTTAGTAATTTTGGAATCTTGATGCTAGTTCCAAGTATCTGTAAACTATGAGTGCCATGTAGATAAGTCATAGTAGCACTAAAGAGTTATTAAAAAAAACCCCACACAACAAACCAAACAAAAAGAGAACGATATTTGTTAGGAAATTATAAAGTTACGTTGGGAAAATGTAGCTCACTTTTTCAGAAGGGATAGTCAAATTGTGCTTGCGTGAACTGTTTCCAACCCAATACTGAATGTGGAGTAAGTGCTACTTGCCTTTTCTGTGGTGGGACTTTGTATCCCTACAATAGCACTGAAAGTATGGATGAGAAAAAAATCTAATAGCTTTCTCTGAAAAAGCAGCAACAGGCTAGAAATCAGATACTGTTATAGGGTGTTATGAAATGTTGAGCAAGGTTAAAATTAATGAACTCTGAGATCAACAGATGTCTCATTCTATGGATCCCTTCTGAGATTCATAGCTTTTTGCTTTCTCCATTTCAACTTGGTGAGCTACAGACTAGGTAGAGTTCTTGATTTAATAACATAAATACCTATTCTGTGTGCTATTGAGATCTGTATTTTTTCTTAACCGTAATGGTGTGATCAGTGTAGAGCTTTGTTTGTAACTTGGAGTTACTCTGCTTTCTTCCTGGGGTTTGGAGTGGGTTTTTTTGTTTGTTTGTTTGGTTGGTTCACTTTTTGTTTCTTTGTTTTCTTTGAGTAAATAAGTTGAGGGTTTTTTTTTCCTATATAAATATATAAAAGACACAGTAAGGCTTAGGCCTTTTCTTGTAAGTTCCTTGGGCAATGGAGTTGCACAATGACTTCTGCTGACAGTGCAATGAATTATGAAACTTTTGCATACAAACCCTATTGCCTTTATGGTGTTTAATATTCCTGGTTTTAATGTTACCCATTCAAGAGAGTTTCCGTAAATGTGAAATTCTTTCTTGCATGTATTTATGAAAATGTAAGAATTAGTAAATGTTTAACTCTTTCATAATACTTTTTACCCCCATTTTGTCTCTAATAAAAGTGAGCTATCTGCCTTTGGCCTTGGTGGCTCTTGTAAGATAAGTGGCATCACAGAACAGCAAGTGTTGTGTGAAGAAATTCCTAAAACAGGCAATGCAAAAGGCCTAAGGTCCTCCTGGCTCAGCTTAGTACCAGATCTTCAGTGGGGTGGCTCACAAGCCTGTCTTGTGCTGCACATCAGAGAGCAGCATTCGGCCTCTGCAGCTATTCAGAGAAGTTTATGAACTGCAGTATTTAATCCGAGATGTGATTCCATTTCTGTCACAAAAATGAGATGTTTTTCTATCTGTACTTTGCATGATATTTCGAATCTTAATGGGCATCTTTGAGGTTTTTGAATGGAAAGATATTGACCATGAAGCAATTTTCATTTTTCACAGAGGGCTAGGTGGTGAGGTCTTTCCTCCCTTCCGTTATATGCATATGCTGCATGACTTTATTTCTTGTGTCCAGGGAATTGTAGAGCCATGTTTACTCTCAGGGCTACAGGGGGCCCTTTGGAAAACTGAATGAACACAGAAAACAAGCAGATGAGAAGTAACTGATTAAATAAAGGCATGTGGTGGGCATTAGTTGTAGACTAGGATTCCCAGCGTTCTGGTCTTAGTAGCATGGCTGTACAGAGTTGGATTTCTACAGCACCAGTGATGCCTGAAGAATGTGAGCTGTCACATAGTAATGCAAGGAATGGGAGGAGAATCCATTGAATGGGGACCCTGAGAGTTTGGGGAGCTTTATGTGCAGTAGGTGATATTTCCTTCTGAAGCTATGGAGCCGAGTGTGTAAATAATTGCACCAAACCACATGACTCTGTTAAGTAATATTTATTGTTATTTTACCCCTATAGGATTTCTGTTGCTAAGAACAGCTTCATTCTGATGAAGAACCAGTGCCCTGCTGAGAATTAGGATTTTTCTCCTGCTGATTGTATTCCTACTTCCTATTTCTCCCATTTATTTGTGTCCCCTCTTTCATGAGAGTGTAGGAGTGCTAGAGATGGTATAGAGAGAAAGGCTTCCAGACTTGACCAGACATGCCACAGGAAACAATGCGGATAAAATTGTAGAGTTACATTCATACAGAGACAGTCTTTAGTGAAGCATAAAAGAAGGGGACCGCCATACTGTAAACAGTACTGGTACCTTCTCAAAGAAATCAGCTTTTACTAGTAAAAGGCAAATACAATGTAACTGTCCTTAGTGTGACTGTTCCTAGTTTAAACTTAATTGTCCTTTAGGGAAGGATGGAAAGGTCTGTGCTTTCATATTTATTTTTACCTGATTCAAATACATTTCCTGTTGACATTGTCATTAACTGCTGTAATTTCCGAGGCTGAATCACTCACGGTCATGTTCGGCATCATTCCTGAAAATGTGGGTTCACAAAACAAAATGGAAAGGCAGAATTCACCTTCTGTTGGAAGCATTTCCTCCAGATATTTATAAGTTACTCGTATTTGTTATGTGCCCTAAGGAACTACCCATAGAAGCAAATAGATCAGTTATTTTTGTCAGCTGAACATCCAAAGAGAGATGGCATTTTGACAGTAACACTTTGCTGGGGAGAGAAGGAGGAAACCAGGAAAAGACGAAGGGGGAAAATTGGTAGATCTCATTTCTCTTGGGGGAAAAAGGATAGACTAGCAACATTCAGGCCAGTATTTGCCATCCTTTAGGTCAGCATTGTCTATCTTTTTCAAACTTCTGGCATCTTAAGTATCTACAATTGGTTCCTGTGTTTGTGCAGCATACTATCTTACTTCTTCAGTTCAAAGGGCTCAAATGATAAACAGTCTGAACAATGCGTCCTTCTTCCTCTACGGTCTCTGCTGCATGTAGCACAAGGCTACTTCTTCCTGTCTAAATTGTGGTTGATATGTTGTAGAATTTGCTACTTCAGTTTTCAAATGCTTACTCTTTACTGTGCACGTTCTTGTGACCAAGACATTTCTTGAAAGTGCCTGTGATAGCAAGTCGTGTGATCTTAAAATGGAAAATGTGATAGCTTACTACAGGGGTTGAAGTATGGGATGCAGCTGTACTTCTGGAATGGTGTTTTCTGCAGCTTTCTCTATTTTATAGGGCTACTGGAATTCTGGGCATGATAAAGTTTGGAGGGAATGGACTCCCTCTGGGATACTTTCTTAAGTACTCCTTTGTTGGCTTAGCAGAAAGCCATTTCAGGAAGTTTGTCAACAAAAATGTAGTCTGTTAAGTGGGTTTTCTGATGTGACATCTGTAATATATTGCTTTGCCTTTCATGTTTCCTTCATTACTTTGTACAGATACACGTATACGGACCTTTTTGGTCATTTTTTGAATGAAATCTTATTCAAGCTTGTTCTTGGGCATGAACTGAAACAGTATGGTGTTACAGGAGTTAGCACAGAAGTACTGCTAAGCAGGTCTGTTCTTTCCATTTATGACTGTACTAGGGACTTGGAGCAAAATTAGTATTAAAAGGTAAAGAGTATGCTTAAGTGAATTTCTACCTAATGGAAATGTATTTATAAATCGGCAGGTTTGAACAAGGCTAAGGTTTACTCTGTTCAGATAAAGAAAATATTTCCTGGTAGTATCATCTGAGTAAGAAAAGATCTGGATAATAGTGTATCTAGTGTATTTATTGAAATTGCCTGCTTGAGTATCCCTTGCCAGCAACATGGGGTTTACAGACATTGGATCCAGTGGACAGAAAATGGTTTTCTCTAGGGCAGTCTTATCTTCACCATGTATCTTGATGGGATCTCTAAAACCCTTCAGTAAGTGCTTTGAGGTGGCTGTGATTCAAGTGTGAATGGATGAGAGCTGGAGCACAGGGTTAAGTGATCGCCAGAGCTGGTGTCAGTGC